AGACAAATGACGCACTTAAATTCATCAAAAACTGCCAAGTGACCAGAATTAGTACAGTCCAGTGGCTAGATCACCATCATTTGGACATTGACAAATACCTGAAGTCGTACCGAAACCAACTGGTCTTTACTAGCTCGTGAAAAAGATATGGAAGCTGTTACCAAATACATGGAACCGTATCGAACGAAAAACCTCAAAACCTTTAATTGGTTAATATCAGGTTGCGAAAAAGATATTGGATATTGAATGTGGGAATTCTGAATTTTCAATTATGGACTCTACTCCTGTTTGGGCACCATTCTTGGGATTAATTGGATGTAGCTCAGCAATAATATTTTGTGGTAAGTTGACCCTTCAATTAAAGTTGATTTCTCTAGCACTTGGAGCTGGGTATGGCACTGCTCTTTCGGGCATGAGCATTTCATGCATTGCGGTATCCCGTCCTGATCTTGTCATGAAGACTATAATACCTGTTGTAATGGCAGGGATAATTGCGATATATGGTCTTGTCGTTTCCGTATTAATTGCTCAAAGGATTGACGACTTTTACACATTATTTATGTAAGCTTTTGTTCTCTTTAATATTACCTGCAGGTCAATAAATGATCTCGGTGCTGGCCTAAGCGTAGGGCTTAGTGGACTAGCTGCTGGCTATGCGATTGGAAAGGTTGGTGACGCTGGTGTGCGGGCAACTTCAAAACAGCCAAGAATGTTCGTCGGAATGGTACTTATTTTAATTTTTGCCGAGGTCCTCGGACTCTATGGATTGATAGTTGCTCTTATTATGTCAACAAAGTGATTTGACTTAACTCCTTACGCAATAGCGATTTGCATAATAATCATTTTCATATGTTATCTTTCCAAGATTCTGTGATTGTCGTATTATTTCTTTGGTATTGATAAACTCTTAGTACTTACATAAAAGCCAGAATCTTCTACTTTTTGGTTTATACTGTTTGATTAACATGATAAATGTGGTTTCTCCCAATAATTCAATAACTGGCAGTCCAGTATCTCTAATTGTACTTGATTTCGTCTTTACTTTTAGCAGTGAACACACACCAGCAGGGAGTTTTTTCAGGTGTTGGGCTATTATGTTATTGCTACGTTTATCGTCCCAGAAGTTAGATTCAAGCTCATATTTAACGCTTCCAGCCGTATTTCGGTTTGTAAAGTACCTTTGTTATGCGTAATCGTAATAAGTCCCACTCGGTCAGGATAGAAGATTACCGCTTATTGTAAGCTCATTTACTCAGCACTGTCAATCAGGTGAATGCAACCATGATATGGACAGAGAGCGAGACTCTCACCAGGAAATCTTGATAACATAGATAGATTTGTCGTAAAGTCGTAAATAAGGTAACTATAAGAAAGCTCCCGGAAGTTGGAAAAAACGACAACCCTATCGAAAACCGTAAACGGTTCCCAGTTCAATTAACTGGAATCCGGAGAAATCAAAGAAAGATGATCCTGTTTGACAGCATGCACATGATTTAGAGTTAGTGTAATCTGTCATCAGAAATGTACTGTCAGGATGAGTTTTAGTGGTGTGTATTTCTAAAGTAATAAGACTCGATGGATTGGAAGCGAGAGCCTTCCAAAGATCGCAAAGCAGGTACTCGGAAGTAACGAAGAGGAGCACGCGACATTAGTCACTCGAAGTTAGAAATAAATGACATGATCAGCTTGCTGAATTTAAAAAAAACAAAGTGGCGAAACAGACTTTAGGATCCAGGGTTTCCGGGTAGTTTTGGGGACTAGTGCTTCTGAGAACTGTATGAGTAGAATGAGTGGCTCCCAGAACACCGTAAATGTATGCTGCGCAAACGCTTGTAGTCTTGAAAAAACGTACGTTCTGAGTTCGATGGTGAATTAAGTCCTGGCATAATCGTCACATAAACGTGGCTAACCCTATATGTGGGCTGCTCCCCAATATTTATAGTATATATCTATATTAGAAGTGGTACGGTTATAAACCAGAAGATAGGAGGCGGGATTTATTAAGTTATGGATCACTTTCGTGTGCGTCATAGATGCATGATGGCGATACATATATGGTAGCTTGCTGCACATCCAAATCTAGTGACGATACCATGAACATCCACTAACTAACCCCAGTAGCAAACTGACCATATCATGCTGTACTTTAGGTTTCAGACAAAGTATCTACCTTATCTTGTCCAAAAATATGATGGGCTTGGATTCCAGCTATCAGAGACCGTTTTATCTCAATGACTTGGTCGATCAATGCAGATGGACCGGTCGAAAACCAATAGAATAAGTTAGAAGCCACATACTAGTTTGTGACGTACCCATTCATCCCATGGCCAACGCGTAAGCTCGGTAAGAAAACTCGGAGAGTAATGAGGCCTAAGAGACATCGCTTACGAAAGACAGTTGGCGTACGAGAGCCATACATGCCCAGAAAGATTGCTTTTGTAGGACGGGGCGAACTGTTAAACAGCAGAGATGTCCTTCTGTTAACAGACGGGTTTCTCGCCCATGCCATAAATGACACGTTGGCAAAAAGCAGTCGGGCCTCCTGTATCGGTGCTGAGATTTCCTTAGTCACCAGGCCATCGGCACTTATGCCACTCCCAAGATAAGTGAAGCAGTCGACATATTCATCTACTTTATTCCCTATCACTAGTTCAGGTGTCGATGCAATCCCATCCTGAAGCAACATTTTACATTTGGAGGTGGAGAATCGCATTCCGAACATGCTTGTATTTTTGTTTAAGGTGTTCAGAAGACCATTTTGTCAGCATCTTCACCAAATGGAACGGTCATGGGGAAAAACGTAGTAATGGGTTTCCTTCATTATTGCTGTATGAGGATTTAGATTTACTCACTGAGTCGGATTTCACCAAACCTGAAACTTTATCATCTTATTACAGTGAAGTCTTCCGTACGGGTATTGCTAAGGGCGCTCATTACCATGCGGTCTAGATGCCACCTATAGAACCAGTACATGTAACTGAAGAAGCTGTTTTTCAATTCCTCACTAACCTCAAACCTGTCAAGTCACCGGATCCTTATGTGTTATATCCACAACTTTTGTCATCCTTTGTGGACACTTGCAGGACCACTAACTATGCTGTTCAACATGTACCTTTCACAGGCTAACTCCTTAGGGATTAAAGGATGTTATAATTAGCCCTATATTTGAGTATGGCAGGGGATAGATCGTGTCTAATTACGGATCTGTCAGTCTAGCCATTATAGTAGTTAAGTTAGTGGGGAAAACAATTCGGACTGTCACTTATATTCAGAAAATCCACGCCATTATCATTTGTATGTCATATTTAGTGTAGTAGTGTTCACGTCAGAACTAAAAGGTCAGCTTTTGATATCCACGCAGAATCAAAAAAATGCATGTTTTCTATTCATGATCACATGAAATGAGATATAGAAATACCTTTGTATAGTATTAGAACCTTAAAATTACTAATTATAATCTTATGGTGATATCCCAGTCAGTTACAACGTGGGACTTCGTAAATGAGTGCATAAGTTCAGGTTGTTGTACCACATTAGCACAGAGACAGCTGTCAGTTCAAATCCAATAGTAGTAGAGATAGTAGAAGTATCATCGGTAATCGAGAAGATCAGGGTTCGAAAATATGATTCGAGAAGTATAATCCAGTGAGATAAAGTTAGAAAGAGAAAGATAGAGATGCTAAAGAATTCAGAAGGTTAGAATTTGAGAGAACACAATGAATGAATGCACCAGTGCCATTGCAAGCGGTTTTTTACCATGCTGTTCAAGGTCTCTAATCACTAGTGACCTTCGTCTCGCTGACCCCAACCACGTAGCCTACATCTACCAACATCACTCAGTCCACTTGTCAGTGATTCCATGTATTTGTGCCATGTTTTGGTTTAGTCACCCCTAGCTTCCTTCCAACCTACTCCTACACTACATAACAAAGCTCGACTAGGCAGTCGGTGGTTGGGCATACGTAACACATGTTCCAACCACCTCAACTGATGAAGTTTCACTACTTCATCTACCGATCCGCCATCCCTACCTAGTACTCATTTCCTAAAGACAGCATTGCTTACTCGGTTGTCACAGGATATACGAGCAATGCTTCGAAGACATCTGTGATCGAATACCAATAGCCTATGAATGTCCTCTACTTATACCGGCCATGTTTCGCATCCATATAGTAAGATGGAGCGGACTGCTGTAAAGTACACTCGTCTTTTGGTTAGGAAACGGATATCACGCCTAAGCCATAGGTGACGCAAGTTGACAAAAGCCAATCAAGCCTTCTGTATCCATGCTGAAATTTCGTCAGTCACCAGGCCATCAGCACTGATGAAACTCCTCTGATAAGTGAAGCGGTCTACACGCTCGACTACTTCAATCCCTATGTCGATGCAAGCCAATCTTGAAGTAACAGTTTGCATTTCAAGGGGGAAAAGCGCATCCCAAATATGCTTGCAATGTTGCTTAGGTTAGTCATTTTGTCAGCGTCTTCACCAAATAGAACAATGTCATTGGCTTATTCTAAGTCAGGAAGTGAGTGTCCTGGTAGGAAGTCCACTGCTGAAAAGTCAGATGATAATGTTATCTCCAAAAGCATATCTACGAAAAAGTTAAACAAGAATGGGCAGAGTGGACAGCGGTGATGGACATCACTTGAAGTAACCAATTCCGATGACAGTTCGCCATATCCCAATCAGCAAGAATTTGTATTTCTAACGTTTCATGACTTCTTCAGCGGAAATATATAAAGCTAATGTCATAATAGATTAAAAATGCGCTATTATAAGCATTTAGAAGAACTAATGTTACCTAACTACATAAAAAGATTTATTCTGTTTTAATCAGTTTACATTCATTGAAGTTTGTTTTTACACTCTTGCATTTTTCTTCTGCTCATTTTTTCCGCTAATAATTTTGCTTTTTAAATTACTAATAATTATCAACAATATAACAGTTAAAATGTCTCATCTATTTTTTATTTAAACAATGACTTGTATGCATAAATAAACTTGAATAATGAAACTACATATTACATATTACATTTTAATTCACTATTATATATATATATATATATATATATATATATATATAGACAATATTTATGAATTGTTAATGAGTTGCAGCATTTTCTGTTGGTGAAGCAAAAAACTCTTTACTAGCATTTGGATCTGGTTTAATTGTTTTCTTGCCAGCTTTCCAATTCGCTGGACAGACTTCACCATGTTTTTCTACAAATTGAAATGCATCCAATAATCGAATAGTTTCATCAACTGATCGACCAACTGGACGATCATTTATTGTTATTTGACGAAGTATACCTTTACTGTCAATGATAAATAATCCTCTGTTATAGTTGTTGTAGAAGAAGAAGAATAAAAAGAAGTAGAATTACAGATAATTAAGTTTAAGTAACTATGAAGTAATCATATCGTTAAATTGTATTCCTTTCAAATAATGGATAAACATGATACAAGCATTTATGTACAGTTGTCTTCGCAAAAAATAATTCGGATCCGTTAGTCAGACACTATCAGCAACAACTTACTTTGGAAGAGAACAAACCAGATTCCTCTAGTGGAGGAGGAAATCAGGAAGAAGCGGTGGAAGTGGACACACACTGAAAAAAGCACTGGACTGCATCACAAGACAAGCCCTCACATGGAACCCTCAAGGTCAAAGGAAAAGGGGAAGGCCAAGGAACAGACAACTCCGAGAAACAGAGAAAGGCAGGAGAAGAATGAACGAAAACAGAAAAGAACTGGAGAGGGAAGCCCAGGACAGAGTTAGTTGGAGAAAACTGGTGGGCGGCCTATGCTCCATTGGGGGTCACAGGCGTAAATAAGTAAGTAAGTAAGAAAATGACTATGTTGATATCAGTAAGTAAATTAGAACTGGTC